GGAGCTCACTTGGTAGCCCAGGCTGGCCTCGAACTCACAGAGATCCACCTGGCTCTGCCTCCCGAGTGCTGGGATTAAAGGTGTGCGCCACCACCATCCGGCTTGTGTTGCACTCTTGATGGCCTTAACCATGCATATCCTAACAGCCACAGGTCTTATCTAATTCCTGCCTAACCATTTTCACACTGCTAGCCTGCACCCCTTTACTATCTTCTTTCTATTCGTCATATATTAAAAACAAAAAAGTATTTTTAAAGTTAGGTTACAGTTTTTGGTTGCTATCCACTCACTGAATAAAGATGGATGAATTCTGCATGGTCAAGGCTCTGGGTTCAGTTGCCGGTGTAAAACAAAGTGCAGCAAAACCGAGACCCCAGGTTGCTGGTCTGTTCCTGCAATTCCAGCACTCGAGAGGCAGAGGCAAGAGGATAGGGATCAGATAACGAGACTGCAGAGTGAGTTGGGGCTAGCCTGAGCTAGTTAAGACCCTGCCTCAAAAACAAACAGCCTGGCTGTGGTGGCACACTCCTTTAACCCCAGCACTCAGGAGGCACAGGCAGGTGCATCTGTGAGTTCGAGGTCAGCCTGATCTACAGAGAGAGTTCCAGGACAGCCCGGACTACACAAAGAAAGCTCTGTGCTGTTTCCTGGACTATAGTGGTTGGTTAGAGCTGGTGGTCTGTGGCTGTAAAAGCATGCCCTACTCTCACTTGGAATTAACTACTTTAATGACTGGACTAGGAAGGGTGATTTTGCTTTTCTCTTGAAAAGCTATTCAGTCAGAGCTCAAAAAAATAAATGCTTGAATAATTGGATAAATAAGATTATGGATTTGGATTAGTAAATGTAATAGTTCTTAAAACTTACTTTTCTTTCCCTACAGGAACAAGGTGAGAAGTCTGAAGAAATTACAGCCTTCATATTTAAAGTTGTAAATTAAAGTGGTTTGCCAAGGATGAGGAACTGAGTTGTTTCTGGTCACGGCTGGCCTTCATTCTGTTCTCTAACTGCTTGCTGGGCTAAGTGGTGTGTGCCCTTTCAGCTCATCCTCGTGGGTCCCCTATGATGTACGTAGGCGTTATCTCTTTGAGGCTCTTAGGAACTCGGAGATAGTTTCTTGTTTAGCATCACACACTGGTGAGTGGTTAGGTTATATCTGACTCCAGCTTATGCGTGACTCAAGTACCACGCCTCCTCCTTAGCTCATGCCCTAGTAACATGTGTGTTGACAGGTGATATGACCATAGAGCTGCTGCAGCTTGCTTGTTGCCCCAGAGGTTAGGGCTCAGCAGAGTCCATTCTTTCCGAATCCCCTGTAGGACTCATAAGCCATGCCTAACTAGGAATTTCTCAGGACTGGGGATAGGGGTAAGATTTTCTACTTTTTCCAAAGTTTTGTTCCAGGGTATTTCACTTTCTGTGGCATCACAGCAGTTATGAGGAAGATAGATTTTCCTCTATCCACATAGAAAAGTCTGGTGTGACAGAGCTTGAGGACCTAACTACTTCATTAAGTTTTGACCACCTTAGTCTTGGAAATACAGTGCCAAGATTTGAATAGGGTTGGGGGTTGGGGGTTACACACCTATAATTTTTCTTTTCTTTCTTTCTTTATTTTTTTTCTCGAGACAGGGTTTCTCTGTGTAGTTTTGGTGCCTGTTCCAGATCTAGCTCTGTAGACAGGGCTGGCCCTGAACTCAGAGATCCGCCTGGCTCTGCCTCCCGAGTACTGGGATTAAAGGCGTGTGTCACCACCACCTGGCTTACACACCTATTCTTTTAGCATTGTGGAGAGTGAGGCCAGAGGATTGTACCTATCTCAAAATCACACAGACAAAAGGATTCTGTTTTTAGAGGGCTTTAAGAAGGAATGACAAGGGGCTGGAGAGATGGCTCAGAGGTTAAGAGCACTGACTGCTCCTCCAGAGGTCCTGAGTTCAATTTCCAGCAACCACATGGTGGCTCACAACCATCTGTAATGGGATCTGGTGCCCTCTTCTGGCCTGCAGTCATATATGCTGTATACATAATAAATAAATCTTAAAAAAAAAAAAGGAATGATAGGTGATAAGTCAGTACTCTGAGATTTGCTCAGACCTTGGATGATGTACTAAGGCATTTTAACTGTACCCTGAGTAAGAAGGATTTACAGGAGTGTGTTTAGGAACAAGGTGACCCATTAAGGTCTAGATGAAGACCAGTTTTGTCTGAGAAAGCCTACTGTGGCTGTGAACAAGGAAGGAAGGGGTGGGAATGGGAATGGTTGCTCGTTTGTGTTTGACTAAGTATTTTGACCAGTTTGTGGCAGGCCTCGGGCTGGAATGATAGGGTTTCCTGTAACATATAGTCTTCTACTTTTTCTTCAGTTTCCAGAGGTCTCAGTAGCAGAGAAGCTGAAACAACTAGAACAGCTGTCTCTTTCACTGGCAACCACAGTAATCCCAGCTGTGGCACTGGGGGCACTTCCATGGGGCGATGTGTTCACATCTGTGTGAGGGTGAGCTGTGCTTTCCGGGTCTCCTTATCTTCCCACTCCTTATGTGTAAAGCCACCTGGAACATGGTCTCCAACAGTGAATTTAAGCAGGATAATCCCCTTAGTTCTTTTCTTTAGAAGCAAAGAATTGCTTAATAGCAAACTTGAAATACATTCTTTTGTTTAGAAGAATGTTGGAATCCTCATTTCCATGTTTGGGCTGGGAAACTGATGCAAGCCAAATGTCAAAAACTCCCCAACCTGCTCAAAGAAATGCCCTTTACATGGCTGTATAGCACATGAGAAAATATTTAAATGGAAGAGGGTCCCAAAGAAACATTAAGTATAGCCATGTTTGATGGTGACATAATGGGAACTCACAGCAGATTGTCACACAGGCCGGATGTTATAAGCATGTGTTAGTTCATTAAATCTTCACAGTACCGTTTCTGTTTTATAAGATGGAGTTATGAGTAGATAGGTTGGAAATTTGCCAAGCCCAAACTGAGGTCCTGGCTGTAACTGTAATATGAGTACAGTCACTCTTGTTCCGTCAAATCTTAGTTTTTATACATGATTCAAAGTTCCCAAACAGTACTACTTTCTATTTATTCTAGTATGTGGACTTCAAACATGACCAGGCCTGATGGCGTAGGCCTTTAATCCCAGTGCTCAGGAGGCAGAAGCAGGCGAATCTCTGTTGAGTTCGAGGACAGCCAGGGCTACACAGAGAAACCCTGTCTTGAAAAACCAAACACAAAAAGACATGGCCAGTGGAGACATCCCAAACTGGTTTTACAGCCCACTCATGGGCCTCAGTGTACGTGAGAGAGAAAGCATCCCAAGCTCTGGAATGAAATTGGCCAGATCTGATCTTAAGCTACCTTTTATTTGCTGAGTGTGGGCAAAGTACTTTATTTTAATCTCGTGCCTTAATTTCTCTATTTGTAAAGTAGCTTAGACCTATGGCTAGCACGAAGGAAATAATGTCTAGAGCAGTGGTTCTCAACCTTCCTAACGCTGACCCCTTGACATTTCGTTGCTACTTCATAACTGTAATTTTGCTACTGTTATGAATGTAATGTACATATCTGTGTTTTCCAATGGTCTTAGGTGACCTGTGGAAAGGGTTGTTTGACCCCCAGGTTGAGAACCACTGCACTAAATAGAAGCAGTTATATACTGTTTGCAATTAATTTTTTTTAGAACATTTTATCTAAGCTGGGTCTGATTTTCACAGGAAAGCCCCACACATGGAGACTAAGCTGTAAACTTTTCACAGATATGGTGCCACTTCTCTTCAAAAAACAAAACCAAAGAATAAAAACAAAAAACAAAAAACAAAACAACAACAACAAAAAAACCCAAGCAAGTTTAGGGGCTCTCTTACTGGCTTCAATGAGTGCTGAGAGTGTATTCCAAAGTAAGTTTTAGGGTGAAGCTTGGTAGATAGCTAGGCTTTTGTAAACAAAAGATGAGGAATGACTCACAGCAATAGTGTAGTATGCTATAATTTTACTAGTTTCCTATGGCGTCTTTAATAAGTAGATAATAAGGCTGAGATAAGGCATTATATAAGAACACCTGTTAAATGCTATTACAGGAAGACACATGTCATTTTGTTTTTAAAGACAGGATTTTTTTCTGTGTAGTCTTGGCTGTCCTGGAATTCACTTTGTAGATCAGGCTGGCCTTGAACTCAGAGACCCACCTGCCTGTGCTTCCCAAGTGCTGAGATTAAAGGCAGTGTGCTACAGATGTCATTTTGTGTGGGAGCCCACAGAGGTTTCCTAGTGAGATCTGAGCTTGCTTTACCCAGCAAGGCTGCATTAGGGGTTGGCTCACCAGGTGTTTGGGATGGTCTGCACTTGGCTGTGCTGGGGGGAGGTCTTTTGCTCTACCCCTTGGCATTCCTTTAAAAAGCCCTTTAGAAGAGACAGAAGGGGCTGATGGGTTTTGACCCAGGCCCTCCCGAGGCTGTCCTGTGTTTCTGTCTCTCTCCTCTCTTATTTTTATCTAAATATTTGCTTCTGCCTGCTCAAGAGTACCCATGGGGAAAAAGTGGGGGCAGGCCTCCCACAATTTTGGTTTCACTTGTCCCCAAACTATTCTCTAGAACAAGCTGGCTCTTCTGCTTTCCAGTGCCATCTTTCCATCTACAGGATAGAAGTGTGTGCTGTCCAGGAAATGTCAGTAGGCTAAGCTGCTGCTGTGCTGACCTACCTCAATAGCCTCCCCTTTCTCCACTTCTCAGTGACTTACCTGGTTGATAAAGACAAGTGTAAGTGGAGCATTGTCTGGCAAGCATCCTCTTCTGTGAACTCTCTGTTGAGAAGTAAACACGCATTTCCATTTAGGTTTCATCTTGTCCTGATGGTTTCATTACAACACCATTGTGTACTGATCTTGGGTTCTGGCTGCATAGATTCAGGTGAGGCATGTCCTTCCGAGTTTCTTGGGATTAGGATTCTCTTTTTAATGACTCTCTATTAGTTTTGTGAGTTTGGGAGATTATCTATAACCCAGACAGTAAGGTATAATGACCACAGCCCTTTCAGAAGAGCTGGCATGGGAGAGTTTAATGTAAGAAAACCATCCACATTCTGGGGACAAATTTTATAGAAAACTTCCATGTAGGACACATTGAAAAGCAAAGCAGCAATAACTTGTAATCAGGAATGATGGTCATTTAGAAAACAAGTTCGTAAATACAGAATAACTTTTTCTTCAGTTGAGAAAACCATAGTGCAGAGAATGCTAAGTCTCGACAGCATCTTTAGGTTAGAGAGACATGTAGTGTGGAAAGGTCAGAAACAGGTCCCTGAAAGCCTGCACCCTCCTGGCAATTTTTCTGTCCTTTTATACTGTTCTTAGAGGGTTTCCAGGTGTGTAGTTTTAAAGTCATCTTTTTTTTCTGGAAACTGGTAGTTTGATGTTTTGTCTGAAGATATTTCAGGTGTTTTTCAAAATAAAGAGATTCTGAAATTAGATACATAATAAAGTCAGCCCATCCGGGGATCCATCCCTGAAAACGAGGTCAGCTTCAGAAGTGTTTGTGTAGAGTCTGGTACTACAGAAAGTGTGTGATTGCAAGTTGTGTCACAAAGGGGTTTTTTTTTTTTTTAATAGTTCTGAGATAATTGAGATAATTTTTACACACCAGCTTGCCTCTTTTTGGAGACAGGTTTTCTCTGTGTAGCCCTGGCTGTCCTCAAACTCAGACATCCACCCACCTCTGCCTCCCAACTGATGAGATGAAAGGCGTGAGCCACCACCACCCAGCTAAAAGTTTAAATTATACTTTCAAGTATGTGGTTACACAGAGAACACTTACTTTAAGCCAGAGATGCAGAAGGTCATACAATACTTGAGGGTCATCACCAAAACTTGATAAAAAGACTACTACAAGTTGGCTAGACCATGCAGGAATCTGGCCAACTTTAACTTCTACCCATCAAGCAGCAATCAACATTTTGAAACAAAA